TGCTAAGAATTTATGTATCTATAAACATATCTATACAGAAAAATTACACTAAAAATACTCTATTATAATCTTATGGGACCACCATTGTATATGTGGCCTATCACTGACCATATGTTGTTATGTGGCACATGACTATACAGTTGACCCTTGAATAACATGAGGGTTGGGTACTGCACTTTACTCCTATACAGTTGAAAATCTGTTTATGACTTTAGGCTCCCTAAAATCTTAACTACTAATAAGCCTACTGTTGACTGGGACCTTATCATATAAAATGTTGATTATCACATATTTTGTATATTATATTCTTAAAATAAGTGAACTAGAGAAGAGAAAATGTTACTAAGGAAGTCATAAGGTTATCTGGCATGATGGTACATTTTTAGTAACAGCTACTCCGGAGTCAGAGGCAGGAGGATCAGTTGAGCCCAGGAATTTGAGCCTGTAGTGTCCTATGATTTTATTTATAAATAGCCACTGTACTCCAGCCTATTTCTTTAAAAAAAGAAATTATGAGGAAGAGAATATATATACTGTTGATAAGTGGAGTGGATTATACAAAGGTCTTCATCCTCATTGTCTTCACATTGAATAGGTGAGGAGGAGGAGGGGGGTCAGTTTTGTTATTGTAGGGGTAGCATAAATAGAAGAAAATTCAAGTATCAGGGGATTTGCACAATTCAAACCTGGGTTGTTCAGGGTCAACTGTGTATAGAAAAATACTTGATTTTTAGATAATGGCCTTGTGTCCTACAGCCTTGCTAAATCCACTTGTTAGTTCTAGCTAGTAGATTTTTTTACATAGTTTTCCATGTTATGAATAAAGAAAGTTTTCCTTTTCCTTCCTAATCTGTGTGCTTTTTATTTATTTTTCTTGCTTTTTTGCACTGGCTAACATCTCTAGTGTAATGTTGAATAGAAGTGGTGAGAGCATACATCCTTGCCTTATTCCTAATTTGGGGAGGAAAGCATTTTATTTTAGTCTTATACCGTTAAATAAAATGTTAGCTGTAGTTTTTGTTTTTCATTTTGTGCATTGTTTTTTGGTAGATGTTTTTCATCATATTAATAAAATTCCCTTCTATTTGTAGTTTGCTGAGAGTTGTTTTTTTTTTTTTTAAATTGGGAACGAATGTTGAATTTTCTAACACGTTTTTCTGCATCTTTTCAGATGATCTATGATTTTTCTTTTTTAGTCTGATTAATATGCTGAATAACATTGATTGATATTCTGATCTTAAGTTAGTTTTCATTTCTTTGAAGAACCATACTTTGTCATGATGTGTTATCCATTTTATATATTGTGGATTCCATTTACTAAAATTTGTTGTTTTTCATTTATAGTATTTATAAGAGATGTTGGTCTGTAATTTTCTTATAACATCCTTTTTTTCTGGTTTTGGTTATCCGGATAATGCTAGGTACATAGAATAAATTTTTTGCTTCAAATCTAGTCTTTAATATAGTACTGAAGTACCCAATAGGAACAGAATGGTGAGTTATATATTAGTATGTTGAAAATATCTGGCTAAATTATAACTGATAGACTTAGATGCATTTGTATTTGAGTTAGCAGTGCTCTGATTAGTATATCCAGTTGTTGCAATGCTTGAATTGAGGCTGAATACTTATTATGTAGGTCTAAATAAAGTCTTAAAATATATGAGTTTAAAAAGGGGTAGTAGAAATTAGCTACTGTGAGCAGGTGTTGAAGAAATACTTAAACATAATGGCTGACAAAATGATACATTTCCTAAGAATCATCTTACAATTACCATTTATTATCCTGAAAAAATTCTCTCCCATTAGTATTCCAGAATAGCCCATCTGAGGCTGCTTTTTCCTTTTCCATCCTATTCATGCCACAGATTTCCCAAAAGACCATTCTGGAAGCAAAGATAGAATAAGTAATAGCCACATTCTTGGTTTATGACTGAGATGGATTGAGAAGAGTTGACCAGTTGGTAGATCTTTGCGGTGTTAAGTATGACAACCATGACTTGTTCCTAATATGTTCTTGCTGTGGATCCAGGGAGGCCTTCAACATAGTCTGTCTTTTCCCCGCTGTCTGTTTTCACTCTCCTCTGGTTCATGAATGGTGGTTAGGGGAGAGCCTCATATTAGTTAAGTTCCAGCGTTTTCTCCTATATTTTAGACACTCTTAATTGCTAAATTTCATTTTAAAATGAAACCTTAGTATGGATGCAAAACATAGAAAACAGATACAAGCATGATTCTATTAGTATAACTATATTTTGCAAATTCAATATTTTAACCCTTTACATTTAATGAGAGCAATAAAGTATTGAATACAAATCTAATATCAAGGGATATGAATAACAACTGTACCTTATTTAGCTGAATATCACTATTGAGAAAAATCCTGATGTTGCAAATGAGTTAGTTTCATGTAAGTTTTTTTTTTAATAGCTTGTCTTGTAGTCTCAGAGTATTCTTAAATTAAACTCATTCAGAACTTGAACATAAAGGGGTAGGGAATCACTAACAATTTCTGGCAAACTCCTTACATTTTTTATCAGGTATAGAAAAGTTAGACAAAAGGAGAAAAATTTTAAATAAATTCTAAATAGTTGATAATGTCTTGAGCCTATTTATGGATTTTTTTTTTTTTTTTTGAGACAAAGTCTCACTATGTTGCCCTTGGTAGAGTGCCATAGTATTACAGCTCACAGCAACCCCAAACTCTTGGGCTTAAGCTATCCTCTTGCCTCAGCCTCCCAAGTAGCTGGGGACTACAGGCGCCTACCACAATGCCCGGCTATATGTTTTTGTTGTTGTTGCAGTTGTCTTTGTTTTTTAGCTGGCCTGGGCCAGGTTTAAACCTGCCAACCTTGGTGTATGTGGCCAGTGCCCTACCCACTGAGCTACAGGCGCTGCCTGTTTATGGGTTTCTTAATTGACTTGTTTCACTGGTCACTCAGTTGCCTATGACACATATGCTATAGCAGTATGTTTGCTTGTGTAACTTTTATTAAGCAAATAAAAGGCCAAAATTGGGATGGGAAAAAGAAAGGTAGAAAAAAAGAACTTTCTAGTTAATGACACATTTCATTCAGTTCAACTATATACACAAAGATAGGAGGAGAAACTGTATTCTGAGGTTTGTGTGAGAATGAGTTAACCTAGCCATGAGTATTGATATTTGGTATAGAACTCATTTGAGTTTGTTTACTTTTTATTACAGTTAAAATAATTTAAAAATATTTTGAAAAGGATATTCAAATCAAATACTTGTGGTATTCCTGAAGCTCTTCAGCAGGACCTAAGAGTTCTATGGAACAATTTGAAAACCATTCTTTTAGACCATGTGTTTCCGCATAGGAACGTTTTCTTTAGTCTCTCTTAAATTCTTATTTGAAATTAGAGTTCTGCTAAATTCAGGGAAAAAGACATAGGTCTTAGTTATAATGTGTTAAGGTTTGAGTCTTAAAGTAATTAAGAAAGCAATCAAAAGCAAGAATTGAGAATTTGTCGTCCCTGTATGTATGAAATATGTGTATAGTTCACAATATATTAAAAGTAGCTTAAAGACACCTGCTGACTTTTCACATTGTACCTAATAATGTGAGCATAAATTCATATTTTATAGGCTTTAATTGAGGTACAAATAAACTGAGTTTTCTAAGTTTTATCTTTAAAATGGGATTACAGAATTCTCGTAACTCTGACATGTTTATATATTTTATCTGAAAGGAAGATGATGATACCCTTGAGCTTGTTTAAAAATGCACACACACAATGATATAATAGAGTTTTCGCTAATGTTGCTTTAAAAGAAATTTTTCTTACAAATCACTGGTTTTCTGCCCCATACTTCTTTATTTCTCTCACTTTTATTTCCTGCCTATTAGAACCCCCAAATATGTAACTGAAAGAGTTCTTAGAGGTGCTTGAGTTCTACTCCATTTTACAGAGTTCAGAGAGAAGCAAGCTTAACTAGATGCTGGCCAGAAAAGAGGATAAGTGTGTATCTTTGTGTACTCTCTCCTACTCCCCAACCCCACAAAATCACAAAAATAAATATTTTCCTAGTTGGTGACTTTGGTTCTAGAATTTCTATATAGTGTTCTCTGTCATTTTAGACTTTGAATTACTAAGGAAACATTTATACTATTTTAGTAATAGTATAGAAATAGGCTTCTATTGTTAGGATTCTAAGGTGGTATAGAGTAGGAGAAAAAGAGCAGCTTTGAGGCTGGCAGATCTGAATTGAAATGGTTCAGTCTGTTACCTACTAGCTGTGTGACCATATGGAGTTACTTAGCCTCTCTGAGTCTTGCTTTCTTCATTTGTAAAATAGGGAAGTAATACATATAAAGCTCCTTGAGCTTATTAGAAGATCAAGAAAGTATAATCAAATAAATAAGTTTGCTATAATGATGAAAGATAAAGGATAGATGTTTCTTTTCTTTTTTTTTTTTTTTAGAGACAGAGTTTCACTTTGTCATCTTGTTGCCCTTGGTAGAGTGCTGTGACGTCACAGCTCATAGCAACCTCCAGCTCTTGGGTTTAGGCGATTCTCTTCCCTCAGCCTTGTGAGTAGCTGAAATTACAGGTGCCCGCCACAGTGCCTGGCTATTTTTCTATTGTAGTTTGGCCGGGGCCAGGTTCAAACCCACCACCCTCTGTATGTGGGGCTGGCACCCTACTCCCTGAGCCACAGGTGCCACCCGATAAAGGATAGATGTTAAAAGCATGACAGCTGAAAGTGCAAGAAGAGAAAGAAAAAAGGACTATAGCAGAGACAGTATGGAACAATAGGAAAAACGTGGCAATTCAAGTGGATAGGAAACAGTTCATTTTGTATTAGTTGAATTCATATATTTTATAGTTCTTTTTCATCTTGCTGCAATTTTAGCCCATATTGAACTTAAACATTTTCTTTTGTGATCAAATTGTGTTTAAATCTTTTTGTCCCTTTTATTTATTTTTATGGTTACTGTTCTCTAAGTAATTATATATTTTTGTTTAATTTACAGGTGGCCGTTTGCTGCATCTGTTTTTTTGTTATTCTTCCTCTAAATCTTGTTGGTACAATACTTGGCCGAAATCTGTCAGGTCAGCCCAACTTTCCTTGTCGTGTCAATGCTGTGCCTCGTCCTATACCGGAGAAAAAATGGTAAAGAGAATGCTCAATCTTAAGTGATCGTTTCTTACAATATATGAGTTCTTAAGGCTATTGTAACTTTAGAATTAATGTGTATAAAGTCATAAGATGGACACTTTATTTGGAGCTTTTTCTTAACTTTGAGCTTAAGAATTTATTTTAATTTTTCCTTTAATCTACATTAAAGTTTTGTTGGCACTCAGCCAACTTATTTATAAAACTTTTTTACATATTATCTGTGGCTGCTTTTACAGTATCAGGATTGACAGATCAGTAGTTTATGTCACAGATCATATCACCTGCAGAACCTGAAATATTTATTGTATTTTTGTTAATAAATATTTTATTATTCTAAATAATACATTGATAGCCATGTACATCCTACTGTTGAGAGGTGAATTAGGGTTTGAGACCAGTTATAACTGTTACATTCTTCCTCTTCACTCTGGGGTAGCATACGTAGAATCTCTTGAATACATGTCTATGACACTTTATACACTGAATGTGTTCTTGAGGAGCTCCCATAAACCAAGATTAATTATAACAAAGGATACAAATATTTCTGTTTAACAGCTAAAGAAGTGCCTCTGTGGCAATAGTTTAAACATGGTTTATATTGGCTTGGTGCCCATAGCTCAGTGGTTAGGACGCTGGTCACATACACCAAGGCAGGTGGATTCAAACCCAGCCTAGGCCTGCTAAACAATAATGGCAACTGCCTGGTCATTGTGGCAAGCACCTGTAGTCCTAGCTACTTGGGGGGCTGAGGCGAGAGAATCACTTAAGTGCAAGAGTTTGAGGTTACTGTGAGCTGTGATGCTATGGCACTCTACCGAGGGCAACATAATAAGACTGTGTCTCAAAAAAACCCCCAACAAACATAGTTTATAGTTCATTCAACCAGTTAGCTTTGAAATTTTGATTCTTGATGGATTTTTAATTTGAGATGATTTTTATTTTTTCAAACTTTGAACATAAAATGTGATGTGATTATTAGTTTTGGTTTTTATTTTTACGTTACAAATTTACACAAAATGTGAACTCATAGTTTGCCTTTTAAAATTAGTAAATTGAATGCTAGTGTTTATGCTATTCTGGATTTGCTTTTAACCACCTGTTTGTAGAGTGATCTGTTCTAGGCTGGAGAATTGGTCATGTTCTTTTCTTTCTTTAGGTTGGTGTTTATGAGAGACTTTATCTAGAACTTTTGCATTTATTTTTTAAAGTAAATATTTTCCTCAATTCATGATAGACTATTAAGGATGATTGATATCCTGATGTTCACCTCATTACTGGGGAAGGTGAGGTTAAAGACAAGTCAGAAGTCACAAAAGTTCCTCTAAGTCACTAGGGCTTGTGAACGGGAGGAGGGAACCACATGACCTTTCTCACCAGAGATGGGTCACATTTGGGGGTATAATCACATGGAAACCCTCAATCTGAATAAGGTCTGGCTCTCATAGACTGTGTTACCTTGAACGGGTCAATTTTAACCTCTGTGGGTCTTGGCTTCCTGTAAAATAAGGAAAGAAGATTAGATTAAATGATTTTTAAGTTACTTTTTCGAGTCTCAACTCTGTTTTTTAGTTTGTTCATTCCAGAGATAATTAGTTTAGTATCTTTTCTATTCTAGGTGCTATGGTAGGCACTGGGAAAACCTAGATGAATAGCTTCTGCCTGCCAGGGTGAGGTTTGATAGACACACACAGACACAGTTATAGAGTGGTAAGTGCTGCAGTGGAGTTACATTCAAAAAGCAGAAGGAGAATGGGGGAAAGATTCACCTCTCCCCAGGAGACTCAGGGAAAGCTTTCAAGGGAGAACACTTGAGCCACTGCTTGCAGGAAGAGAAAGAGATGAGAGAAGACATCCAGGTAGAGAATTATCAGTTCATAAATTGCAGTAAATGTTTGTTCAGTGGATTCACAAAGTTTAAATTTTATTTTTAATTCTTTCTTTTGTCTTCATTATAAATGAGAACGTATAACACCATACTTGTATAATTCATAGGCAAAGGAAATATAGAGCCCAGGAGAGAGTGAGCAAAGAGATAGCAGGGCCACAATTTGGGAAACGTTATTTCAGATAGTGGTCTCAGGACTCATTTTCTTTCCTTCTGGCTTCCTGTGAATAAATGTCTGTGGAGTTCTTGGAACTTACTGAAGGTGGTAGAACAGGAGTAAATCCTTAAGAGTCCTTGAGTTCTGCCAGTGGCAATAAATTGTGTTCCTCAAATCCTTGTTTTAGCATTTATTGCTAGAAAGAATATTCATTTGAATAATTTGAAGTCCCACCTGTGTATTGAACCTCTTGGTTTTGGCTTTTCTTTTTACCTGGTTTGTTTCTACCCTTTAGAGATGACGTTTTAAGTATTCAGCACCTGCTTCCTATTATCAGAATTTATGTGAAAATCATGTTAGAAATTTACTGTTAATTTTAATATTTTCCAGGTTCATGGAGCCAGCAGTCATTGTTTGCCTGGGAGGAATTTTACCTTTTGGCTCAATCTTTATTGAAATGTAAGTTTTTTTGTAATGTATTTATGTTTTGAGGGATTCAATTGTAATAAAAGATTGTGGAGTTAGGGTAGATAAAGAATCATCAGATTGAAAAGCATCTAATAGAGATAGCCTGTTAGACTTGGCTTCCAGAAAGAGGTCTATATAAACCATATCAAGGTAGTTTTCTGCTCCGTTGTCAAATATTCAGGTGAAGTTTGTACTTTTTTGTATTATATTCTAGACCTTTCACCTAACAGAAGATCTTAGACATTAAAGCATAAATGTTAGAGAATGGTAGACCAGCCTTGGAGCATATGCATTATGTTAGGAATTACTAGGTTTTGTGATATTTTTTGAATATTTATGAGGACCCAAGGAATTAGGTAAACCATTAGCTCCTACTCAGTCTAGGCCCTGCCATCTTCGATGCATAGTCATCCCTAGGTTCCTTCTGAAGAGGCCTGCAGGTGTGCTGGGAAGTGTGTGTATATGTGGGGGTATGCCGCCTTGTACCCACTCAGGATGCTTTGTATCTGCATCCTTTGTCACCACTGCAGAATATAAGCCTTTCTTTTAGTCAGCCCATGTCCCAGTGTCCCTTGATGAGAATGCTCTGGTTATTTTAGGCAAGATAATTCTTTGTCAAGGTCTTTCTAAAAAACTATAGTCATACACCCTGGGCTCCTGCCCTCAAATACCAATCCTTGTGACAACTCGAAATACACTTGCATATTTCCAGATGCTCCACTGCTGAATCTCCTCTGTACAGTTAGTAGGAGCCTCCTTAACAGGCATAATTGGATTTGATAGTTGGTCAGCTGAGAAAGTTGGCTTATGTGAAGGAATGACTTCAAAAGATATATGCGTAACATTTTATTTTAAAACAACTAAAAGTGTACCCTTCACTGATACATTTTTATTTTTAATTTTTAGAGACAGAGTCTCTCTTTGTCACCAGACTAAAGTACAGTGGTGCAGTCACAGCTCACTGTAACCTCACACTCCTGGACTTAAGTGATCTTCCTGCCTCAGCTTTCTGAGTAGCTGGGACTATAAGCACATTGCCACCCTTCTTGGTTAATTTTTTCTTTTAATTTTTTGTAAGATAGGTCTTGTTATGTTGCCCAGGCTGATCTTGAACTTTTGGTCTCAAGCATTCCTCTTGCCTTGGCCTCCCAAAGTCCTGGGATTATAGACATGAGTCACTGTGCCTGGCCTGACTTTTTTTTAAATAAAGAGCTGAAGTCTTGTCTTTGATTTGTGTCTACTGATTGGAGTTTCCATTGTTTTTCCTTTGACATTCATAATACAGCTTCTGTGTTTTCCAACCGTATAAAGCCAATTTAAAAGAAAAAAGTCTGAAACATTCTCAGTACAGAATCCTACATGTGTATATTTATACCCAGTCTTTTATGGTCATCTCACCCATATCTAATCTTACAGCTTTTTAAAGTGACTCATCCTTATTGAATCTTTCCAAAGCGTTGAACATAATTTTCATAGAAACCACACATCTCTTTGTTCCCGTGTTTATTGGTTTATATAATATTTAATTTAGTCAGTTTAGTCTATTTATACTAATGAGGACAACTGACATAGATACAGGCCAACTCCTGGTTGTCACCTGCCAGCAGCAAGTGTGCTGTGAGCATTAGTACCTTAGATGGGGATTGGAGTATGTGTCACTGTGTAACTCGCAGTTGGATAAAGCCAGTTCAGGAACAACTTCTGGAGTTTCAGTCTGACTCTGCTTTGTGTCCTTACCCAGACTCACTTGCCACTGCTTTTTCCCTTCTACTCTTATCTGAGTACTCCTGGGTCACATGTCTTCCTGCTTTCTCAGGCACTGTGTTCCGTAGATAGCTTCTCTGCTGTTTCTTTAACTTCTCTGCTATTTTGACTATCCTCAAATACATTCTCTCCTGGTAATCAAAGTGATCTTTTTAAAATATCACTCATAATCATGTCACTTCTTTGCTAAAGACCTCTCGTTTTCATTGAAATGAGTCATTTTCATTGAAACGAGATCCCAGCCTCAAACGTGGTTGTTAGTAATAAGAACCGGCCTGTTCACCTCTCCAACTTGATATCTTACAGATCTTGCCCCTTCCTACAAAGTACTAGCCATATTGAATTACTTTGAGTTTTTCAAAATGCAGTGCCTTCTTATTTGCTGACTTTTGCCTTTGCTGCTAGCTCCCCTCACCCCATATATGCCTTTTTTGATTCTTCTCACTACTGTCTCCCCTAAAGCCACAGCCAGCCAAAATGCCCTTCTTATGTGCATTGATGTAGACATCACAGCAGGTCACGATCCTTTACTGGTGTTTCCCCACCAGCCAGTAATCAAAGTAGACACTTCGTTGTCTTCACAGTTTTGTTCTCACTGCTCTCCTGACAGGTGGTAGGGGCTCTGTAAATATTTGTTGAAAGAATGAATGGTGATTAAATAATAAACAGAAGAGAATAAGAAAAAGAAGAGGCAGAAAGGCTCTGTTCTAATTTAATGATGACTTGATAACAGATTTAGTGTAAAGGATCTTTTTCTTAGTGAAAAATTTTAATGCCCTTTACTGTACTCTGAAGATAGCATGAATCTTTTTAGGCTTTCTTTTTCTAATTATTTTCTTTTCCTAATTGTGTACATTATTACTCTATCAAACTTATTTTTCTATTTAATAGGGTGTTTTGTAAAATATAAAAATACATCACTTAAATAGTGTTGTATCTACAAAATAGTGAAAGAATAAGGGAATTGTCTTTGTTTTACAATTATGGATTTTCAGCTATTTTCATTTCTTTTCCATTTTTACTCCTTTATATTTCTGATTTATTCCATTTGATTAGAGGTGACTGCCTTCTCTTGAGGAATCTGTTCTTGAAAAATTATACAAGAAAATATTTTTGAGAGAATTTTAGAGGATTTAATAGATAAGAAAGGGTAAGGGAAACTGTTGGAAGTTACCTAAGAGAAAAAAATTGAGGTTCAAGTGAGGCAAAAGTGAGAAGTAAGGTGTAAGAGGGGCAGAGTGAGCTTCACGGGTGATGACTGGACATCTCTGCTTTTGTTGCCTTTTGTGTAGGTATTTTATCTTCACATCTTTTTGGGCGTATAAGATCTATTACGTCTATGGCTTCATGATGCTGGTGCTTGTGATCCTGTGCATCGTGACTGTCTGCGTGACCATTGTGTGCACATATTTCCTACTAAACGCAGAGGATTATAGGTGGTAAGTACCCATTTGGGGGAAGGAACTTTGGCGTCCATAGTATTTTAAAATACGATGTGCTTTGAAATCTGTCAAGGAGTAAAAGATCTGTATAAAATAAAAAGAAATTTTGCTCCTTAAGATAGTAGAAGGATTCCCCCCCCCCCAGTGGTAAAAATGGTGAAGATTTTAGAGGAAAAATTGTAGCCAGTTTTTTTATATTAATGAGGGGTACTATGTTAGAAAAATTTTTACAAATTGCTTAATATGGAAATATTTTTACAAAGCATTACTCCATTTTAAACAGGAGGCTTAGATCTGAAAAAGGAAAGAGTTTATTTAAGGTCAGAATTCAGCTCTTAAGCTACCTTCCAATTCTTAAGCTCTCTCTTTTTTGGTACGTTTAAGTGCCATATATAAGCCTTTTTTTTTAAATATGCAGAATTTAAAAAGATGTTTTTATAAATTTTTTTGCTTTAAAATCTTTCAATGCCATGCATTCAAAGAAATTATCCTTTCTTTCCCTCAGGCAATGGACAAGTTTTCTCTCTGCTGCATCAACTGCAATCTATGTTTACATGTATTCCTTTTACTACTATTTTTTCAAAACAAAGTAAGTGGTGACATTTTCTCACTTTACCAAATTTGTCCTTTAAATACTAAAATTTAAGGCCTTAATATGGAAAGTAAAAGTGGATATACTATATGTAGTTTTGTTTTATTTCAGGATGTATGGCTTATTTCAAACATCATTTTACTTTGGATATATGGCGGTATTTAGCACAGCCTTGGGGATAATGTGTGGTAAGTTTTAAAATTCTTTGGATATTACTGAATAAATCTAAGTTTCTTAGAATCCAAAAAATAGAGTAATTGGAAATTAAGAAATTCCATTCTGTTGTTTGATCAGGAATATCTCAAAATAAATCCAAGAGTGTATTGTTTCTTCCTCCAAACCTAACTTAAATCACCTCATTAATTTCCTCTAATTTTTTTTTAGTCAAATGCTTTACAAATTTGCATGTCACCCTTGTGCAGGGCCATGCTAATCTTCTCTGTATCATTTCATTTTTCTGTATGCGCTTCCAAAAGGAGCACATTGATTTCTTTTTTATAGAAATTCTAATGATTCTGTATAGTACAGAATTCTGTACCACAGTTAGTTCCTCAATCATGTTGAGAGTTGGCCTTTTTAAAATAAAGCGTAGGTTCATGATGTAGGCACGTTCAGGTGTTGCTGAATGATTTCTGTTTGAAAGATTTTTGTACTCTTCACGAAGGTGCCAGTATCCAGGAGATAGCACAGTTGATTGGTTCTTAGTACCCACTTGGGTACCTGCCACCTGGGCTTAAGTTCTGGCTGTTTCATGTGTGTGCTTTGTGCCTTGATCCAGTTCCCTAAGATCTCCAAGCCTTTGTAAAATGGAGATAATACCACTGTTTCATGGGTCTATCTCAATCTTTTGTTAAAAGGAAAAGGAAGTGGGTCTGGGTGTGGTGGCTCATGCCTGTAATCCTAGGACTCTGGGAGGCCATGGCAGGCGGATTGCCTGAACTCAGGAGTTTGAGACCAGCCTGAGCAAAAGTGAGACCCCGTATTTAAAAATAGCTGGGTGTTGTGGCAGAAGCCTGTAGTCCCAGCTACTTGGGAGGCTGAGGCAAGAGAATTGCTTGAGCCCCAGAGTTTGAGACTGCTGTGAGTTGTAAGGCTATGGCACTCAGCTCCTTGGTGACTGAGTGAGACTATGTCTCTATTTATTTATTTATTTTTTAGAGACAGAGTCTCGCTTTGTTGTCTTTGGTAGAGTTCCATGGCATCACTGCTCACAGCAACCTCCAGCTCTTGGGCTTAGGCGATTCTCTTGTCTCAGCCTCCCGAGTAGCTGGGACTACAGGGGCCTGCCACAATGCTTGGCTATTTTTTGTTGCAGTTTGGCCAGGCTGGGTTCGAACCCACCACCTTCAGTATATGGGCCTGGTGCTCTACTCACTGAGCCACAGGCACTACCCAGAGACCATATCTTTAATTAAAAAAAAAAAGAAGGGGTAGTGGTTATCACCATATGATAGAACACAAGATGTGTGGAATAGCCAGAAAATAAGACAACTTTTGGAAATGGCATGGAAAGTGGTAAATGGCGTGGAGGTGAGAGACTGTAAGCACTGATTAATACATTAACTGCCATGTGAGTTGTACTTACACTGGTTTTGAGCCCAGCACCTCATCAAGCATATATAACTCACACATCTCTTGACTTATTTTGACCTAATAAAACACTGTTGCCCTAAAGTGTTAAATCTCCATATTGTCCCAAGTGCGGTGGCTCGTGCCTGTAATCTTAGCACTTCAGGAGGCCAAGGCGGGAGGATTGCTTGAGGTCAGGAGTTTGAGACGAGCCTGAGTAAGAGCAAGACACCTTCTCCGCTAAAAAAAAGAAGGGAAAGAAAGAAAAGAAAAGAAAATGCTGAGTGGAATGGTGTGCACCTATAGTCTCAATTACTTAGGATGCTGAGGCGAAACAATTGCTTGAACCCAGGACTTTGAGCTTGCATTGAGTTATGATGTTACCACTCACTGCACTCTAGCTTAGGTGACAGAGTGAGACCCTGTCTCAGGAGGGAAAAAAACAACAACAAAACCTTACTTTATACTGCTACTCACCTATTTTGTGGCTGTGATAAGTCACATTAACCTAAGTGTCATTCTCATTTGTAACATTGGCATATCGTTCAGAGTAATTGAGAAGAAGTACCATTGGGTATGTAAAGTACCTAGTGTAGTGCCAATACTATTGTTAGATGGTAAGAGAGAGCCAGTTACATGGGAGAGACGTGGTGAAGAATGAAAAGGGCAGGGACTTCTGGGGTCAGTCTGTCCTTAGTGTGAATCCTGGCATCCCCGCCCAACAGCCATGTTACTCTGGCCAAATTTAACCTTTCCCCCTCAACTTTCAAAATAGAGAATGCCTACCTCACAGGGTTGTGAAGAAGATTCAGTGATTAAATGTGGATCAACATTAGGTCAATGTAGATGCTCCGTGAGGCTGGCTGCAGCTGTTACTGATGAGGGCTGAAAGTGCTTGGGTTTCTACTGCTGCGGGATTGGGTCTTTGTTTCTTCATAGTCTCTTGTGGATTTCTGTACCTTGTATTTTCACCTTAGAGCAATTCATGACACTAAGTTCAGGCAGAGGTACCTTAAGGCAGCAGTCCCCAACCTTTCTTCGCACCAGGAACAGGTTTCTGGAAGACAATTTTTCCATAGGGTAAGAGGGGAGCGAGGGATTAGTTTTTATAAGGAGCATACAACCTTGATCCTCCTGCAGTTTACATACAGTGGGGTTCGCTCTCCTATGAGAATCTAATTCCATTTTTGGGGGGGCAGTAGAGTCTCACTATGTCGCCCTCAGTAGAGTGCTATGATGTCACAGCTCACAGCAACCTCAAACTCTTGGGCTTAAGTGATTCTCTTGCCTCAGCCTCCCAAATGGCTGGGACTACAGGTGCCTGCCACAATGCCCAGCTATTTTTTCTTTTTTTTTTTTTTTTTTGCAGTTTTTGGCCAGGGCTGGGTTTGAACCTACCACCCCCAGCATGTGGGACCAGTGCCCTATTCCTTTGAGCCATAGGTGCTGCCCCACCCATTTTTTGTTGCAGTTGTCATTGCTGTTTAGCTGGCCCAGGCCAGGTTTGAACCTGCCAGCCTGGGTATATGTGGCTAGCACCCTACCCACTGAGCTATAGGCACTGCCTTCTAATTCCACTTCTGATGTGATAGGAGGCAGAGCTCAGGCAGTGATGTAGTTGATTGGGACTGGCTGTAAAGACAGATGAAGCTTTGCTGGCTTGCCCATTGCTCACCTCCTGCTGTGTAGTGCGGTTCTTAACAGACCACAGACCAGTACCAGTCTGAGCATGGGGGTGGAGGACTATAGCCTTAGGGGAAACTCATACAAATACTTCACTTTTTTAAAAAAGTCAGTGTTCTACTCAATAAATGAGAGTGATTTCTTTGTTACTTCATAGTAATAATGGAAAACAGAAGGACTGACCACTGTGAAAACATTTCCAGAAAGTGGATAATTCATGCTTTTTCCTATTATTTGCCATTGGCTATTTGTCTGCCTATCTATCTATCTATCTGTCTGTCTATCTGTCAATCATTCTACCTTTAGCTACAGGCCAGGCAGTGGAATAAAGAAAATACAATAATCTTGTTGAAAGCTGGTCCTGGTTCAACATCTGAAGATACTACCTTTGGGGTGCCAAGATTAGTTTGTTTCTCCAGCAAAGGTGTTTGTTTAGTTAACATATGCCATGTGTGTGATCATTAGTGCACACACACAAATGAGGTTGACTATAGTGAAACTCATTCCACAAGCTATGAGGGAAGACAGTTATCTATATTATACTCACAGGTTTTATTTATAGCTGTTGTGGTAGCCATTTTCTGTGATAAATTAATTAACCAAACCAACTTTAAGGGAAAGATGACTAGGGCCTGAGTGTTAAAACTAAATTGTGTCGTGTGGAATTGTCCCTGTTCTTAGGCATTCAAAAGGTTCCTTTGGTATTATTAACCATCCTTTTTTCAGAACATGGCTCACTGGGCTCCCCTTTATTAATCTGAGATTTTTCTGGATTATCACCAGCATTCAGTGAGGTATAGAATTATGTGATTAAGCCAAGAGTTAAATTTTTTTTTTCTTGACCTAACTTTTTCTTATATGTGATCTTAGTAAGACCTAGAGAGGTAACATCTTGACATTTACAAAGATGATGAAATGAATCCAGCTAAATTTTTTGAGTGCTTTTCCTGTTGAAATTTCATCTCGCTGCCTGAAAATCTTGGCACCTTTACAGTTCCCTGCTGTTCTGGCAGTGCCCCAGCATTTATTCTTTAATGGCTTATATGCCTTTAGTGCTTCATATTTTTAAGGGGGGAGAAACTGTTCAGACTAGAACTTATTAAAATATTATAACAGAAAAATTATATATACTCATCATTTTATGTTGTGAAAATGCTTAAGTTGGTAATTAAAAGAAAAATATTTGTTGATTTTTTTTTTTTTTTTGGAATGTAGAAAAGAGAAATGACTGTTAAGGTGGGATATTATGAGCATAGCATTTTTGTATTAAGGACATTAAAAATGTATTTCTATTATTCCTAAGATATTTACTTTTCTAGAGAGCATATTCAGTATCCTATTTTTATAAAGGTGTATTTTTATAAGTTTATTCTTGAGGTACTCATAAGGTTAGGAAAAATTACTCTCTAGATTGATACTATTTTGATTTTAAGCACATCTCTGCTCAAAGGGGAACAGTGTTTTGTAGATCTGGGAAATTGGATGTAGTTATTGGAGAGTGTTATGTTATGCCAGTTAAATTTTTGGTGCTAATTAAAATTTTATAGATATTTTTATGTTCTAAGGATCCAGGTTTATTTTTACAAAATTGAATGATTTTTCTCCTACCCTGTAAAGAATCACTTTATAATGATTTCAGAATACATTATCAGTATTTTAAAGTGCAATATCATTATTTCATATTATAAAAGAAGTATCTAGTCATTATAAAAATAAGTAGAAATAGGTTTGTCATTTTGGTGAGGGGTTTGGTATTTTTAATATTTAATAATGGGAAATTTTGCAATATATAGAAAAGTAGGGAAAGTAATATATATATAGTGAGTACCATGTACTGGATAGTTACCATTAGTTTATCAACTCGTGGCCAGTGTTTTCTTTTGTTATTTATATCCTCACCTAACCCCCTTTTATTCTGACATGAATCTCAGACCTTACGTCATTTCATTTATATATATGTATCTAAAATATAATTCCTTAAAATGATGAGATACACAATTTATATTCAAATTTATCTCACCTGTAACTCTTTTGATATGGTTGATTTGCATCCAGATTAGATAAGGTTCTTGCATTACTTGGTTAAAATGTCTCTTAAGGCTCTTCTAATCTATAGGTGTTCTCTCTCTTTGCCCTTATAATTTATTTTAAAAACGTAGAAAAAAGAATTCCTCTAGAGTTTTCCACACTCAGGATTTGACTGATACTGTCCATGAGGTGTCACTTACTGTTTCTCCATGTGCCTCCCTCTACTCCATATTTCCTGTAAAGTGGCAGTTGTAGATCTGTAGGCTTCATCATACCTAATAATACTGGTTCAAGAAAACTTAACAAGTCATTTGTAAATTTACCAAGGGGCATATAATTTTTATTTCTCTTTCTTTGTGACGTCAACAGACATTGATGATTATTACCCAGTTCATTAGTGGTTGTATTATTCTGTTGATCTTTTACATTTATTAGCTGGGATACTTCTATAAGGAGAACTGTCCTTTCATCAACCATTTGGTTACCTTGAGGTACAGTTCATACATACAAAAGGCAAGATACATGCTTGTATCACCCAATCACTGGGTATTCACCCAATTGGGTGAATAAAAGTTGATTCAAAGGTGACCAGTTAGGCACACATCTGTGTTTATCTCTCTGTGTGTGTGTGTGTATACCATCATTAACTTATGGAAGAGTTACTTTTAAACTTTAAATAATATTGGGCTATATGGTAAAGTCCTAAGTCCAATGGAGAATTTTCTTTTGATAGTTTAATGACCAGTTGTCTTGTTTTAAAGAGCCCTTAGTATTTGCAGTAAAGAACTATCCTGGCTCGGCGCCTGTGGCTCAAGCGGCTAAGGCGCCAGCCACATACACCTAAGGTGGCGGGTTCGAATCCCCAACCCGGGCCCGTCAAGCAACAATGATGGCTGCAACCAAAAAATGGCCAGGCGTTGTGGCGGGCGCCTGTAGTCCCAGCTACTTGGGAGGCTGAGGCAGGAGACTCCCTTGAGCCCAGGAGTTGGAGGTTGCTGTGAGCGTGATGCCATGGCACTCTACCCAGGGGGGATAGCTTGAGGCTCTGTCTCAAAAAAAAAAAAAAAAAAAAAAGAACTATCCAGTTCATTCATTCATTAAACTAATATTTATTGAGCTTCTTACCATGTTGCCAGGTACTCTTTTAGACTCAAAAAGTAGATATTTCATTTAACAAAACAAACAAATACTCTGCTTTCTGGCATTTGGAGCCCCATTTGACCTTTATTTAAAAATGTTTCAGAATGTGTGATCTGCTTACCTGTATTTTTTGTCTCTTCTCTCTGTTCCCTCAAATATGTCATCCTTTCTTTAAACCACACAGCATCTGTAACTTAAACATATAAAAGAAACCATCAGAAAATGCTTCTTCTCTAGAACTTCAAATGCTGTTGGGCCATGGTTCTCTGTCCTTTCCTAAGAGAGTTCCCCATGTTATCCATTAGGTTTTGGGAACATACATTGATATTGCTGTAATGATGCAGAAAAATAGATGCTCAAATGAAAGAAGACATTGTTTTTTTCATTTAACATATTTTTTTGCTATTATCAAATTATTTTTGTTTTATACAAAATGTATTTTAATTCCCTTGTTACTGATTATACAACAGATAATTGTTACTTGATTCTAAAAAATTACATTAGGTTAGAGTTGGTGTATGACGGTAACAGGTGATTTGCAAAGTAAATGACGCAGTTTTAGTAAGTTCACGGACAATGCTAACATAACAGCATCTTGAAAAGAATAACTTCCCAAGCAGAGATCATTTTGTGTTTATAAATTATGGACACTGCTCTGTATGTTTTTGTTTCAAAATATCTTATTTTATTTTTGCAGGAGCGATTGGTTACATGGGAACAAGTGCCTTTGTCCGAAAAATCTATACTAATGTGAAAATTGACTAGAGACCCAAGAAAACATGGAACTTCGGATCAATTTCTTTTTCAAAGGGGTGGAACTTGCATAGAAAAAAAAGCGCAAGAAGAGATTTGGGCTTTAACACTGGGTACTTTGTGGGTCTCTCTTTTCGTGGATGGCTTAAAGTAACATCTATTTCCATTGATCCTAGGTTCTTACTGACTGCTTTCTCCAACTGTTCACAGCAAATGCTTGGATTTTATGCAGTAGGCATTACTACAGTACATGGCTAATCTTCCCAAAAACTAGCTCATTAAAGATGAAATAGACCGGCTCTCTTCAGTGAAGAGGACAAATAGTTTATTTAAAGCATTTGTTCCAATAAAATAAATAGAGGGAAACTTGGATGCTAAAATTACATGAATAGGAATCTTCCTGGCACTTAGAGTTTCTACATTATTGAAAAATGATGTTCCAGAAAGATTACTTTTTTTTTCTCTAATTTTTACTGCCATCATCGACCTATTGTGGGACATTTTTATATATTGAATCTGGGTTCTTTTTTGACTTTGTTTTTCCCAATCCAACTGCATCCTTTTTTTAACAGAGAGAATTAAAAAATATTAAATCCTGCATGTAATATATCTGCTGTCATCTTAGTTGGACCAACTTCCCATTTATTTATCTTGAAACTATCCTGTTACATCTTAATTCCATCCAAAGAAGATACAGTCTGAAGATAGAGGCGTACTCTCTACAATGCAATTTACTGTACAGTTAGAAAGCAAAGTGTTAAATGGAGAAGATACTTGTTTTTATTAAACATTTTGAGATTTAGATAAATTACATTTTAACTGAATGTCTAAAGTGATTATCTTTTTTTTCCCCCCAAGTTAGTCTTACACATTTTTGGGGTTTGAATGAAGGCTTTAAATAAGAAATTATTAAAAACAGGGGGGGGTGGGTAATAACTGTATATAACATTAAATAATGTAACGTAGGTGTAGATTCCCAAATGCATTTGGATGTACAGATTGACTACGGAGTACTTTTTTCTGATGATGATTGGTGTAGAAATGTGTGGATTTGGGTGGCTTTTTACATCTTGCCTACCATTGCATGAAACATTGGGGTTTCTTCAAAATGTGTGTGTCATACTTCTTTTGGGAGGGGGGTTGTTTTCTTCTCTTTTCATTTTGAGACTCCTACAGGAGCTGAATTTGTAATTTAGAAACATTTAATTTTGTTAATCCTGTCTGGGACACTTAAGTAACATCTGAAGCATTATTGCTTTAGAATGTTCAAATAAAATTTCCTGACCAAATTGTTTTGTGGAAATAGATGTGTTTGCAATTTGAACGGCAATATTACTAAAGGCCATTTAAAAAAATATATAATGGACTATGCTTTTCTAATACAGGAGACCCACACTTTAAATCCCCAAACTTGCTTACATCTAGATTGGTCGTAAGGTCATAAAGTGAATGATTAGCCCTTTGAATGAAATTGTGGCACAAAATCTGTTCAGGTTGGTGTACCGTGTATAGTGGGGCTGGGATACAAGTAGTTAGCTTACTATTGGATGAGCAAGTAAAAGTTACAGTTTCCTAAGAGAAGTGAGTTTAGTTTTGACTACATCCTTCTGGAATTAACCATAATGTGAAGTTTTTCTAGAATCATTGAGTTTCAAGCTTAATAGTTTGCTATGCAAATGAGCACCTAAAACAATGCTGTATATTGGTATTTTTGAAAGGACTCAAAACAGCTGTTCTAAACCTTTATTTGAAATTTATGCCATTAATAGTTAACGTAATATATTTTCATTACAAAATGTTTCTATAAATTGAGGGACTCCCCATCCTATATTGTGGCATGTAAGTCCTAGAAACACCGAAAAGTATGATTTCTTACCACTGACGTATGGTTGATGTGAATAATAGAAACTTGATCAGAAGCTGTAGGTAAACCTCCTCTTTAAGCCAAAATTTTATATTAAATATAATCTGTTCTTATGTTTTCTCTTCCTTCTCTCTTACGTTTAAGATCTTATAAAAAGCTAAAATTCAATATTTAATTGCTTATGTTTCTTTTTAGTTGCATGAAAAGTACTTTTAGCATACCAACATAGTCTGATGGGAGTATAAATTGAACAGTACACTTTTGTTTTAATAAATTGAAATTTGTTTTATGTGTTATGCATCTTGCAGGTAAGATGGAGGGTTTTAAAAAATGGGTAGGTTAACTGCTTTTAGGTGCACCAATTCTATTAAATTGAGCTCTATTTGAAATTCTTTGGAATTTGCAGTAAAAAAGAATTTTCTAATTTCCAATTACATTAATAGCACTAAAATGAATATAAATCACCTTGAAAAGTCCTGTAGAAAAGGACTTGTATTGTTTTATGACTTTATAGAGGGGCTGAATAAATGTGTTTATGTGTCTTGAAGAACACGTAATTCACACGTGGCTTGGCATCTAGCTATAGAATAGAAAACAGAATATTATTGAAGTTAATTGAAGGCTGGGATTTTTTTCTTTTTACCACATTAATGCTGTGTCTCTTCCATTTGTTTAACATCATTTGTTCAACTTAACTGATGTTTTGAACAGTCCCAGACAGTGAGGATAAACTTTCTCTGCATATCTTTCAGCATACTTCTACTGACCTGAAGTTTGACTTCATTACTAGTTAGAGTAGAGTAAGGTGGAAATGTAAAATAATGGTTAAAGGGATGGTAAAGCATTCTTAAGTGTATCATGTTGGGCTCCTAGATTATACTGGGTTTGCCCATAAATCAAACCCCATACTCTTAGAATTCATTATATTGTGGTGATATCTGAACCTAGTGAATGCTATGCTCAGGTATTTTCCTTAAGTGTGGGTGGACCTCTAGATTATAAAGTTGGTTCTTGTAAATTCCACTTCTTTCAACAGCCACTTTTCTTAGAGTTTATTTACAAATTGTATTCATTTTGATATAACTTTTGTTTCCTAAATGTTTACTCACCACGGTATGCCAAATGTCTTGCAAATAAATGTTATTAAACACTTCCTGAATTTATAAATGTGAACAAGAGAAAGTGTATTAATGTAATTTGTTTAGGAAAAGCTACATACTGAAGGGCTTTGGTATATGAATTCGGTGGCGGGGGGCCTATTTGTAATCTATACCCTGTAGTTCTATCTGGGTTTTAAGGTTAGATTTCAGTGTGTTTTAGTGCTTCACTCTGTTGATTTATTGGAGCATATGACAAATAGAAGTAGTGACATATAAAAACACAAGTATTCATTAATGTTTTATATCTTCATCAAAATTATATAGTCATGAAGCTAAATTTTAGCAATCAAGGTGTCGAAGAGATCAGAGAAGTGAAAACTTAAGAAGATTGGAATGCGTACAGAAATAAGACTAGATTACAGGTAGGGTAGATCAGAAAGTTAACATACACCTGTTGAAATTTTGTAAGACAAAGTGTTCTTATTGCCTTTTCCTCAAAGACATCTGATTTGACATTCCTGCTGTAGCAGTAGACAGAAATGTGCAAAGATAAAAGTAAACAAAGTTAAGTTCTTATTTTGCTATTAGGGAATGGAAATAAAGAAACTTGTTAAATCTGCTTATTTTGAGCTATTGGTGAACTAGACTTGCCAGTAATTGATAACATAGCCTAGTGTGTATTTACTCTGGTTCATCAATTTAGGTCATTTGAAAATTATAAACAGTGTACGTAAGAGCTTAAGGCAAGGAAGAAATAACATGCAACTTTATTAGAAGGACAACAAAGCATTCTTGGAAAAGCAGTTCTACTTGGACTTTTTCATTTGTATCAAACTGAATCTATAAATTCCCACAGAGCACAGGCAGGCAGTCACAGAATTGGAAGGAAACAATTACAGCTTGATGGTTAACTTCCATTTTGTCTACACCCTTGGTTTGTGTAGGCCTATTCCGACTGTCTTTTTAGTAATAGAAATTCAGTATATAATGTATCAAATACTCTTGAGGTTCTAATTGTCTGTAAACTTATCTGAAGTTGGATTTTTAAAAAGTAATAAAAAGTTAAAATTATTTCCTTTGATGCTTTCTTTCCATTTTCAAGTAGGTAAACCAAGCCTAAGGGATAAGCCATTATTACTGGCATGCATATGAAGAGATTACCGATGGCTCTCCACGCTGAAATAAAGCAGAGGTCTGCAAATATTTTCTGTAAAGGGCTCGTAAATATTTTAGACTTCGAGGGCCATACAGTCTCTTGTCAAAACTCTATAGTTAACAGCTCAAAAGCAGCCATAGTAAACAGACATAAACTAATGAGCATGACTGTGTTCCAGGGTGACTTTTCCCAAACAGTCAGTGGGGCAAACCTTTGGTAACCCCTGAAATGAAGGATTTCAAATACAAGGTTTGATTCCCCCTGCCCCCAAATTTATGTTTAAAAAAGTATTTTAATGTACCAAAAACCTGAGAGAATGGTATAATGAGCAAGGTTTGTCTTTTTTGAAAATGATTTTTAATTTTTCTTGTATAACAAATCTGATGCCTACACTCAAACCCCACCATTCCCTACACCTGTCATCTGATTGATAATGCGTTGCATTTGCCTAGTACTTAGACTATTTTTTACAAGCAGTTTTACATACGTTCCCTTACAACCATCCTGTGAGACTGGTAGATAGTCACATTTTGTAGATAAAGGAGGGCAGTAGAAGGAGCTCTTAATTTTAGCCCTGAAGCTAAAAGTTAGGGCTCTATTGTCTAGGGTACAGTATGTAGAAGTCATCAAAGTTAGGGCCCTGTTGTCTGGGGTACAGTATGTAGAAGTCACATTGAAAATCAGTGTTTTGTACAGATGGACAGGAATATTTTGACTGTGTTACATTGAAATCAGTGGCTAATTGCTCTAACTCTTTCATCTTCACATGTAAGTATTTAAAAAATTTTTTTTATCAACAGCCTTGGTTCTTTATTCCTCCTAGTCTTTGTAGCTACCTTTGCCAAGTTTACACCTAAACTTGGCAATTTCAGTTAGCCAAATAGTTTTAATTGGTAGAAATTACTTCTGATCCTTTCAATGAACATTTTTTGTCTAGTTGGAAAATGAAGAGTAGAAGAGAATGTTAATGCAGCCAACTTGTTTATTTCAGAGTGTGAACTATTTTATGAAATGTAATATCTACAATATAACATTAGGAAAGGGGGAACAAACCTATGTTGGGACATGTGGAATCAATGTTAGTGTAGTCTACAAATGTATTTATAAGTATTTGATTATTTAAAATGATTTATCTTTTGAAAGGTTGTATGCTTAACATGACAGGAGTTTCATGTGAAAAGAAAATGAGGGAGATGGTTGTAGGGAGAAGTTTATTTAAGTCATTTTAATTGGCCGTTGTTATGTGAAGAACCTGTGGCCTTCTAGGTCTGTAAATCTGGCCTTTTTGACTGAACCTAAATTTTGTAGAATAAATCCTTTGATTAAAAGGGACACAGCAGAGAAAGATGATGCTTTTCTTGCCTCCTTTGGTGCTTAAAAAAGAACAATCTTAAGGTCAGAAGGCTGCAGGTTCCCCGTCCCTGGATGACTAGGATAGTAAGACTTAAAGGTCAATTAAAGGAAGCAAGGGTCGAGAGTAGGCGTCATCAAACTATGGCCTGCAGGCCACATATGGCCCACATAGGACATTTATCCGGCCCACCAGGTGTTTTTGCCGCCGCTGCCTGTCCTGCTTAGCAGGCAGACTCATCCTGGGGCCCGCAGTCCGGCCCTCCAGTGATCTGAGGGATAGTGAACTGGCCCCCTGTTTAAAAAGTTTGAGGACCCCTGGTCTAGAGGAAGGTGGTTCCAAGTTGGGGTCGAGAGAGATCTCCTATACTTTAGAACAGTAGGGTAGGGCAGACCTGAATAGCTAAGTGTCACAGATGTGGTTGCTGGTATAGTAGATGCTGGCATGAGGATGCCAGCCATGTGGTTATCAAGATGCCCCAGTCATCCCTAGGATGACTACACATGTTTAATGCAACAGAGGTATAATATGGAGGTGGTATGAGCCAAGGCTGGAAAGATAAAAGCCTGATGGTGGACGAGGGCCTGGTATGCCACCTGAGGTGCTTGGATGAAAGGTTTTGAGAGGGAGGAAGGGTTTCCAGCAGCTGCTAAAAGTTGCAGCAATATTAAAAAATTTTAATTACTTTCTCCCAACAACTCAGTACCATCTCAGTGGGCAGCAATGTAAACAAAGGAATGAGCTAGCTGGTGAGAGTGCCTGTTTGATTCTGGAGGGGTTTGATTCTGGAGGATCGGTTTTTTGCACTGGAGGAGATTATGATGATGCATAGTGGCCTGGAAAGGCAAAGTGAGGAGAAAGTGGCTGAGGTGAGTAGTTAAGGAGGATAAAACTTGGTAGACTTGAAGAGCTCCAAGAGTGGCTGCACGAGAACCCAGTTACCCTGGGCCTAGGTGTACAAATGGAATGAGAAGTTATCTGAATGTAGATTAGAGTTTTAAAATGGTGAGTGAAATCAGGAACTTACAGAAATGGTGAGGAGTTATTGAACATCACTTTTCAGTCATTCCTTTCTGACCTTTCTATTTAGATCCAAATATTTTGTTGCTGTTTGTTGGTTGATACCAAAGTAGCATCTAAACTGGCCTCTGACATAAAACTGTGCAGCTTGCTGACCTGGCAGCTCCACTGTCTTCAAAATATTTGGACAAAGGGTGTTGGTGAGATGAGCCAGCAGTTACCCACTAGGTGGGTATGGAGGCAATATAAGCACACAGAGGAATTCACTACTAATGAGGCAGCCAGTTGGCTGTTTGTCTAGTGCCATCTGGAGACCTGGAAGTGTCAGAGAAGTTTGTTAGGTCTTTCAGATGTTGGCTCTGTGGACTTCTCTCCTGACAGGTGGTGACCTTCACGGGGGTGAATGCAGAGGACTATGGCGTTGGGTTTGACTCCTTCCAGCATTCAGGCAGAAATGCTGTTTGACCTCCTCCTACACCTATTGACTATTTAATGGCCACTTGGCCTTCCCTGCCATTTGGTGGTGTTCATTCCCCTAAATTCCTTCCTCCTGACAGTTTCTAACCATATCTTGCCCAATCTGACTTCATCCTGTATGTGCCCATTTTTGATGAAAACAGCATGAAGCAAGGTCACCTCTGCATTTCTTTCTACAAGTCAGAACAAAATATGCAGTAGCACCCTTCTAGTGGTTTAGGACAAGGGCACCTTCAGCCTGGTGGTTTGAAGGACTTGTTATCTTTCTTGTTTCCTTTGTTAATAGGTGAGAAGAGAGATGACCATAATTCGAAAAATTCAGAGTCCAGTGTAAAGATTAGCTTTGGGCTCTCTGTTGACTATTTTGCCATTAATGTATGTGAAATCATATTCAAATCCCAGAGGGACGTTCAGTCCATTTTTCTGCTTGTACTTTAAATGAAAACAGATACTACTGGCTATGATAACTAAAAAAGTCTACATAGATATATTTGTGTGTAATACTTTTTGATTAGGGCAATTTTGCTTGCATAAAAATCTTTGAAAA